GAAAATGGATTAATAAGATGAAAAGCAAACCTATCGTCTACTAATATGTTTCCTATTGCTTTTTCTAAAAAAACAAAAGATTAGGTTGTTTTGTATATCAATTGATAGGTATCTCAAAATCAATTTGTCTCCTATATCTTAATAATGCATTCTCATATGAATTTGTGCATCTAAATAAATTAAATTTTGTTACAACTAGCCCTAAAAGTTAAACCATAAACTTGAATTTCATTTGAAAGTGCTCTACACAGCACTTTTCCCTTGTAACACTTTTCGTTAAAAATATAAATTTATTATAAATCCAACACAACACAACACTTGCAACAAAGCCTTAATTTACAAGATTTTACCACCTAAATGATAGGCTAAAGTAGTACATGAGAATCTAAACTTACGCCACATTCATGATTAAAGTCTTATAATTGTTGAATTGAAATTTTCAAATAAGATACAATTGGATATAAACTGTTAGGTACATGAAATCCAGCCGGTTGTGTAATAGAAAAACAATCCTTAAACTTTTAATTTTAGTTCTTAAAAACTCTAAAACTTTTTAAAATCTCAAACAGCCCTTAAACTTCTTTTAGGAAATTTGTATAGGGCCCACAATTAAAAATTAACATGACATGAGTCCTACACCAAGTGGTCTACGGGTCAACTAAGTGGTTTACTGGTCATCCTCGTGAGTGACAATATTTGAACATTCAAGTTGAATTTTAATTCAAGTAACTATCCTTTTCTCCTAATTTTCCAATATCCAAAAATAATAATAATAATATTAATAACGTGACATGTATGTGGGTCTCAATTTTTTGTTTTTTTTTTTTATGAATGGATTTATTATGCAAATATGTGAAACTCACTCAAAATTTTGTTAATGATTAATTAACTTTTAATGAATTTTTCAAAAAATAATTAGTAAATTATCTCAAATAATTAAAATTAATTTTTAATTATAGATCCCATAAATATTTCCATATTAACAGAAAAAATTAGTTTTAAAAGCTTTTTGAGATTATTAAAAATTATAAAGTTAATGAAAGTTAAAATTAAAAGTTTAAGAACTATTTTTATTATTTACCTAGTTAAATTTAACTATATTGATAAATAATTTTAAAAAATCTAACAATTTTTATCTAATTAAAACCTTACTTTAAAATTTTGATAATTTTAAAATCTTAATTGAGAAAATTACAAATTTAATATAAATTCAAGACCTTAATTACTTATTTAGCCTAAATGATACAAGTGATAGGGTTACCCAATGCTGTTTATACATTTCTTCTTTGCTTGCTATGTCCAACTTCGATTAAAATTTGTACGATCTTTTACCGAATTCTATCTCGTTTTCTCCTTTTTGTACAAAACGATGCTAAGACGCGGAACTGAATAATACAAAAACGAGGATAATAAAGAAGATGGGGCCAAGCAAAAAGCAAGACTTCACTACTGATGCGCCATGGATGTAGAGTCCTTTATGATTTTGGATAGTCATGAACCATTACGTCCTAATTATAAAATTGAGTAACTATAAAATCTCTACTTTAGGTTAATTATTTAATGGCAAAATTGAGATTTAAAAATTTAAATGCTACACAGCTTGTAATTTTTATATGTTAAAAATGAAAAATTTATTTAGGTTCTAACCAATAATTTAAATAATTAATAATTATTTTCTTTGTGTAAAAATAAAATATAGTAAATTTTAGTTATATAATATTTAAGTAAAATGAATTAAAGAATAAAAAGAGAATATTATATGAGAAGTCCTTGTGACTTAAATGGTTATCTATATATTGTTAAGGACCATCTTATCTTAGTAGAGGTTTAGAGTTCAAGTCCATTCTTGTGTTCAAAGAAAAATATTATAGTATTATAAAAAATAAAAAATTAAAATGCTTTCATTTAATAATAATTATATAATAAATTTAATAAAATTAAAATTTATACTATATTTAATAAGGGAAAAGTGTATATCTCAACTTTTAAAAATAATTAGAGTTTCAACTTAAAATTATATCATTTTATTTAATTAAAATTTAATTCAAAATTTAAAAAATTATCTTATTAAATGTTAATATATTAAAATATATAATGAATTTTTAAATTTAGATATCAACATTTAATATAATGAAATTTTAATTTTTAGATGTATATTATGATTTTAATTATTTTTAAGAGTAAAAATTGACACACACTAATCTTATTTAATAATTATAATTAAATATTTTAATATTAAAAATATCATATAGTTTTTTTTTTTAACACTACTTGTTGTCAATAGCAACCATAGTAGCTAGCCGCTATGAAAATCTCCATAATGTAGTGAGTGAACAATGATGGCTGCTATGACCACTAATAGCAGTCGCTATACGAATAGTGGGGAGTGGGTGTAGCAGCTGCTATTTAAATTTCTTTTTTTTTTTTTGTCAAATCACCATGTTAAGCCTACATCAAGAGTTTAAGTTAAAAGTTTTTAAGGTTAATTTTGTTTTTTCAAATTTTCTATTTATAAATTAAAGAAAGAAAACCTTAAAACAACTCATTGCATCTGGTCTCCACACATCTCGCACACTCCTCTTGATTCTCCTCTACCCTCACGAGTCACGACCTCACCTCTCAAGTCTCGGCGTCGATATTCTTTCCCACTTTGCGCACCATCTAGTCTCCTCTCAGTTCCCATCGGCCATAGCAAGAGTTAAAGAGTGCAAGACAACTCTCAATCTCATAGCTCACCCCTTCACACCTCTTGTAATTGGATCTA